AGGATAAATATGATTGCACGTTCTGGCAGGAGATTAAAAATCCCCAATTTAAGTCCCTCTATGAACTTGGAAGTCCACATTTTTTCACAAAATGTTCCAAGAGCTTTGAATTCTACTTTTTTTTTTACAATTTAAACTATTTTTTCCTATATTAAGTTGTTCAACAGTTCTAAGACATTGCACAATTCTTTATCATCTACTGTAATTGCTGTTCAATAGTGTATAAATTATTTAAAATAAAAGACTAATAACCATCAAATGTAATAATTTTCTAATATGGTATTGCCTTTAATGCTAGAACTGTTTGTAAATGTGACTTCATATGTAAAAGCAAAAGCAGTATAAAAATAAATCACAACTTACATTTCAAATTGAACACACTAAATTAAATTAACTAATGAAATATGCTTTTGAGTTTCTGTTTTATTATTAAAGATCTAACTTTTAAGTAAGTTATGTAAGGGTAATTCTTCTTTTGTATGTTTTATCTGGTATTTTAGATTAAATATGTATTTTTATTCCATAAATTGGTTGTCTATAAGCAAAAACTATTGCAAATGCTAAATAATTGAATTTTTATAATTCTAAATAAATTCTACCCAGTTTCTTAAATCTATGTAATTTACTTCTGAATTTACAAATTTGCACAGATCTAGTGTGCCTATGCTCCTGGCTGCTTTTCCAAATTTTGAATTTATTGGGGTTTTTCCCTAGTGCAAAYAGTAAAAGTATTACTCCCAAAAGGCAAGAATTAGGCCTTGAGATCTAACCCCAAGTGGAGTTAGAGGTTTTGTGAAGTGGTTTCCCTGGCCAGCTCTGCAKAGAAGTGCCTGAAAAGTTAATCTGTTCTGCTGAGATGAGAAGAACTTCTTTATTTTGGTCCTTAAAAGGTGGCAGCCTGCCCAGACTGACCTTCTTGGGGACATTCCATTCCTCAGGTRATGCGAGCCATGAAATAATGGTCCAGAGGAGCATTTGGGTGTTGAGGAACGTGCTTGTCTCACATTGTGAGGGACAGCTTTGAGTAGCTGGGCTCTTGTCTGGGATCTCTTGTGTCGGTAAGAACAGACACAGTGATTTTTAATGATGCTACCAATAGAGGCAAAGAATCAGTTKGTTCATTTGGTTTCCTTCACAATCCAGAAGCGACGCAGTCTGGGGAGAAATGGCCAGATTTCAGATTCGACAGGAGTGAGCTGTGGGTTGTGGCACACGGAGAAACCACAGGTCACAGACATTGGTCAAAGAAACACTTTGTGGGGAGTCTKACTGAGTGAGGATGGTTTTACCATWTGGTTTAATCAAAGAACAATTAAATGATCRCAGAGCAAYGTCTTCTTTRCCTGCAATGTTAACTTTTTGTTAGCACGTCAACTTTTTGCACTTGTAAAATGTTTCCTTGGGTATGGTATTGRAACGAAGCTTTGAAAGACTGCTGGGACATCCACTTCTCTTTCCTGTACATGAGGATGTGCTGCTAATACAACAGATCACATGGCTATAATTTYTCTGACAAGTTCATTTTCTGTAATTGTGCTTTTCCCTCAAAACACATGTTTTGCGTTATGATAAYGTTTACTTGATATGCTGCAGTTACAATACAGCTTAAAGTATATGTGGCCAGATTCTTCCTTGGTATGAGTTCATTAGCAGCTCCTGGCTTTGGTTTCTAACCACTGAAAATCATTTATGTTGCAGTGCCGAGGTTTTTGTTAACTCCCCCAGATTAAGGCAATACATTATGACCACGTGAATGTATCTTGAAGAGTTCTTTGTTTGTAAGTAAGGTGGTAAATTTCAATTTGATGGSTGTTTTGCTGTGGTGCTCGGAGTCTACATGTTGCAAACTCCATACATTCATTTTCTGCTCTCCAATTACTGTACGTTGCCTTGAGGCTTGTGTAYGTGTAGCAGTGCACACATTTATGCAATATGCCTACCAGCTGTAAAATATTACAGTGCTATATTAATTCTCTTTATTGAAAGTAAAGACATTTTTACTGTGTAAAGATCATTTGATATTTTTAAATTAACATGACTGACTGTCTAAATGTGTATGTTATTTCATAGATCACTTTGATTTAGTATTTGCAGCAGGCATGGTTTTGTACATTATGTCCTCCCTTCTCTTTACTTCGGGAGCATTATATAGTTTTCTCTTTCTGTTTCTCTGTAACTAATATTATCAGAGTTTATTGCAATTTGTCTATTTATGAAAATGAACCAGGCTATTTTATTACTTTCAACTGCAATRATTAGTGTACCAACTTTAAGAATTATAAGACATCTTATTTTTGCTTCAAGTTTTTGTTTTCTCTTATGGCTATTATAAATGGTTGGGAGAATTTCTACCCTGAGTCCAAATTTCGACCTGTTAGAGAATTTCTGAAACCCATGGAGTTTAAGTATGCCTRGTCATTAAAGTTACTGAGGATTTGTTTTGACCCAGAGCATTAGGCCTCTTTATATATTAAAACTGCCTAATCTTGCTGTTTTCAGTTGAATAATAATTTCATAAGGTGTGATGAAGAGCACAATCCAGTAAAGGAAAATTAATCCATTTTTAATCAGTATTCTACCACCTTTCTTGTAAAGTCCTTTATGTAATTAATGACCATTAAGTTATATCTTTAAAATTTCTGTTCTGTATCATCAGTGTTTTGAAACACATACATGCACCTTCTAATCTGATACCAAAGAGAAAAACAGTTCATTGGAATATTGGATTTTCTACCTGYACAGGCTCACTTAGAAATTTTAGTAAGTAGGACTACTTTATTGCAATATACAKGTAAAATAATGTATCAGTAGTCTTTAGTTTTGCTGGGATAAGATCAAAATGTGCAAATCCATGTAGAGAAAAACATAAGTGAGCTTCAAATGTGAACCCACGATGAATACAGTAGTATTTATGAGAATTAAAGATGGTTACTCTTAAAAYAGCAGTGGTGTTTGTTTGCTACGAATGAGACTTTAAAAGAGAAATTGGTTTTTTTTCCTTGAAAGAAGCAGCAAACAGGAAAATATTTGTGAAAATACGTTTTTAATTCAACTGTGTAGGTCCTGTGTACCTTTCCCATGGGTGAGAATGAGCAAGTAAGTGTTGGGCATTAAAAATCCTACATGTCATAAGGAAAAATCTTATATTTCTATTGCAGTCTTTACCTTGATTCAATCCAGTGAAACCTGGAGCAAGAATTAGGAGATTCATTTAAATGAGTTTATTTATACTTGTGTGAATACAGAGAAAGCGAAGCCCAGCTGAGRGTCAAGTTTTTTCTTGCAATGCAACTCAGATTTAACAGCCTAAGTGATTTGGCCCCAAAACCTTCTTGCATGTAAGACTCTTCCATAAATGGCTTTTATGTCACAGGAGTGCTGTGAAATCCAGTCTCTTCTCTTGTGTCAGTAATGCCTGCTGAAGCAATCACTGCAGGAGATGCTGGAAGGAAGAAACTTAACTRGGCAATACCTAAAATCATATTTTTTACTTGTGGAAATGGAAACTTACTTGCATTTTAGTGTTTATACATCTGCGAGTGTGCATGTGTGTGTTCGTACACATGTACAAGGTTACTGGTTTAGGATTCCTTTTTTTCTAGGTGTAGATAGTGGTAAGAGTATCTGCTTTGAAGTGTATGTAGCAGAAGGGGAAAAAATCATTGAAGGGAGGAATATTGACACAAAATAATAAGGAAAAAAAGTGGTTATAGTATAATGAACCCATCTTTTCCTCTGGAGGGTGGAGGGGTATTATATGAAGTTACTTCACCTGTTTTTTTATTGGCTGGCTCTTTTTTGTATCTCTTTACCACTGAAATTACCAGTGCTGTTTGCCTCAGCTGGTCTGTCAATCCATCAGTGTCAAAAAAAAAGTCAGTTTAGCAGGGGAAAATCTGCRTACAATTTGCTCTTAATGAAGTCCCTTTTCTCTCTGGAGAAATTATTCATAGAATGAACCTTCAGTGTGCAAAATGAGCCCGTTGCTCTCCCTGCCACCGCCTACAGCTGCATGTTTGTTCACCTTCTGTTAACTTGTCATTCTCCAGGGGCAGAAGGAATGAAAAGGAAGTTGTTTTCTTCCAGTGCCATCAGCTGAAGAAGATTCAGGTCTCCAGCTGGCTTTCCTCAGCTCAGTCGGATGTCGGTGCAGTTGTCTGCCCATGGCAGAGGTCAGTCAGGACCCTGTTTGTGAAGCTGCAAGAGGAAACGCAGTCTGGGATGTGGGGCATTKTGTGGCTTATTTTC